ATAAGTGTCATGAGTAAGGTTTCTTAGTGTTGATGTAGAAGAACAAAACAGAATTGTGAAATGAGAATCACTGCAGCTATCATTAAGTCCCGCCTACGTGCCCAGCGATTGCTAGATTGGCCAAGTTTTCCTGTGAAGGGCAATACAGTAAATATTTTAGGCGTTATGGGCCATCCAACCTCAGTTGGACTTTTCATCTCTGCTGTTGCTATAATGCAAGCAACCATAGACAACATATAAACAAATGGGTGTAGCGGCATTTCAATTCAACTCTGTTTATGGGCACTGAATTTCATAATTTTCACATCACAAAATATTCTTCTTTTATTTTTAATATTCTTCTATTGATTTTTTTCTTAACCATTTAAATGTGTTAAAAAGTACAACAGCCGGGTGCAGTGGCTCACACCTATAATCCCAACACTTTGGGAGGCTGAGGCAGGCAGATCACTTGTGGTCAGGAGTTCGAGATCAGCCTGGTCAAGATGGTGAAACCCTGTCTCTAGGAAAAATACAAAAATTAGCCAGGTGTGGTGGCAGGTGCCTGTAATCCCAGCTACTCAGGAGGCTGAGGCAGGAGAATCGCTTGAACCAGTGAGGTGGAGGTTGCAGTGACGCAAGATCCTGCCATGCACTCCATCCTGGGCTACAGAGCGAGACTCTGTCAAAAAAAAAAAAAAAAAAAGTACAAAAACAAGTCGAGGCTGGACCAGATGCGGCCCTTGGGTCATAGTTTGCCAGTTTCTTCCAACAGTTCATTAAGAAAAATTTCCAAGCAAATAGCCACATTGAAAGAATTTTGCAGTGAACACTCACATACTCACCACATAGATTTTACAATTCATGTTTTACTGCACTTGCTTGATAGCATATCTACAATTTCTTCATCCTTCTATCCATCCATGAATCCATCTTATTCTTTTGATGCATCAGAAGATTCTTTTTCTGCCGGTCACGGTGGCTCATGCCTGTAATCCCAGCACTTTGGGAAGCCAAGGTGGGTGGATTACCTGAGGTCAGGAGTTCGAGACCACCCTGGCCAACATAGTGAAACCCCGTCTCTACTAAAAATACAAAAATTAGCCAGACATGGTGGCAGTCACCTGTAATCCCAGCTACTTGGGAGGCTGAAGCAGGAGAATCTCTTAAACCCAGGAGGCAGAGGTTGCAGTGAGCCAAGAGTGCACTGCTACACCCCAGCCTGGGTGACAGAGCGAGACGCTGTCAAAAAAAAAAAAGGAAAGGAGAAGGAAGGAAGGAAGGAAGGAAGGAAGGAAGGAAGGAAGGAAGGAAGGAAGGAAGGAAGGGAGGGAGGGAGGGAGGGAAGGGAAGGAAGGAAAGGAAGGAAGAAAGAAGACTCTTTTTCAAAAAGAAACCAGTGGCAATTTCTTCCTGGGACAGTACAAGGTGGTGAGTGAGTTGGCTAAGCAGACAGGCAAAAAGACAGAGTATCTGTGGGTGGATACTGGCACCTTTTACACATAGGCAATAAGCAATAGTTTTCCAAGGAGAACAGTAGATGATTTGCTACTGTATCAACCAATATGTTTGACAGTACTAAGTAACAGAATGTGTAACAGACATTCTGAGACATTTTGTTACACCCAACCTGTCCAGATATGCCTTCTAATTCCAAGAGCCCCAAGAAACACCCTCTGCTTAAGATTTTATCTAACCATGAATCCAACGTTTTCTCATTTATTTGCTTATTAATTTTTTGTATATCTTTTCTTGTTAGAATATAAATTCCATGAGAGCAGAGGCCTTTTCACTTACCACACATGTTCTGTGCTAGACAAGGGCCTACCATAAAGAAAACACTCAATATTTATTTATTTATTTATTTATTTATTTATTTATTTTCTTTTTGAGCCAGAGTTTCACTCTTGTCATCCAGACTAGAGTGCAATGGTACGATCTCAGCTCACTGCAACCTCTGCCTCCGGGGTTTAAGTGGTTCTCCTGCCTCAGACTCCTGAGTAGCTGGGATTACAGGTGACTGCCACCATGCCCAGCTAATTTTTGTATTTTTAGTAGAGACGGGGTTTCACCATGTTGGCCAGGCCAGTCTCGAACTCCTGACCTCAGGTGATCCACCCACCTTGGCCTCCCAAAGTGCTGGGATTAGAAGTGTGTGCCACCACACCCGGCCTCAATAAATATTTATAAGAATAAGGAATGGATCTGTTTTCCACATCTCATAAGTTGTCTTTTATACCTTTCTTTTCTATGTCCTCCTTTCCTGTAATCTTGGGTAATTTCCTCCATTCCATCTTCCAGTTTACCAATTTTATCTTCAGGTATATTTATTCAGCCCATCTATGGAGAAGGTTTGGTTTTTCTGTTCATCTTTGGTTTTATTTTGCATTATTTTTTCACTTCCAATATGATGGTGGTGGTTGTTGATTTTCATAACTGTTCTTATTTCATGGATATGATGAATAATTATGAATACAATGAATAATTATAATGGATATAATACCTAACCCCTCTGAGGATGTTAATTATATATTTCTAAGACCATCTTAGTGCAATTTGTACTTCTAAAACAGAAAGCCACTAGGTAATTAGCAAAGAACAGAAATTTATTTATCACAGTTCCGGAGGCTGAGAAGTGCAAGATAAAGGCTTCAGCAGGTTAAGGTCTGGTCTCTATGGTTCCAGGATGACACCTTGAAACATGCTGTGTCTTTTGGAGGGGAGGAACGCTATGTCCTCACATGGCAGAAAAGCAGAAGAGAATGAACCCATTCCTGCAAGCTCTTTCCATAGTGGCCATAATCCATTCATGTCGGCAGAGCCCTCATGATACAAACACCTCCTGTGAGACCCCACTTCCCAAGTGCTGCACTGGGGAGTAAGTTTCCAACACATGAATTTTGGGGGACAAATTCAGACCATAGAAGACTCCTTCTCCTTTATTGATTATTTTAATGTCCTTACATGTGAGTTTTTATGTCCATAGCATTCAATCTCCCAAAATAATCTGGCACCTTTGGATGTGTGCTTTTTGCTCACTGGGGATGTTCTGCTTGTCTCCCCGTGAAGCTGGTACCTTCTTACTGCATCTGGAGGCAGAGGTGAGAAAAGGGGAAGTGCCAGGAACGAGTCTTCTGCATACAGGGCTTCCTGTTCTTTCCGGATGTGGCCAGGTATGCTGGGCACTTCCCTGCCTCTCTGCCCCACCCTCACTGCTCCCTCCTTAAACAGGCACCTCTGCTGCACTTCTGTGTTACTCAACACAGAAAGGTTGGGGCGGGAGACCGCATGTCTTTAGAGGCTGCCATTACTATGACAGCACAACTGACAACCGTGACAGTTAACCTAGGGTCTCTTCTCCTTCAATCCACTGCCTAGAGCCTGCAGCTCCTCAGATCCTTTCCACTCTGCATAGGTACCCCCTCCTTTATGCGTTTTGGCTGCAATTTCCTCCTTCATCCAATCCTGTATCTCTGTCAGGGATCTCAGTTTCCAGTTTATCTAGGGCACCTCTGGTTAGGACCCAGCGACATTATTAAAGTTTTTCCATCTCTTTCCTGCCACCTCTAGAGGCCTGGGATGAACGTTGAAGGCTTGTGTATATGTTCAGTCCACCATCCTGACCCAATATTGACCCTTCTGCGTTCCATCTTCTAAAAATGCCTCAAATGTCCTGTTCCCTTGACTCCATTTTTTCTCAGTTTCCAACCCTGTTGATTTCCATTATGCTTTTAATATATCTTTGCTGCTATTTTAATAGAATTTTGAGCTTGTGTTCAATCCACTATCTTGAATAGAAAGTTTCTAAAGTGGCCTGTGACTCAGGAAGAAGACTGTGATTAATGGACAAGCATGAAAATCTTGCTGAATCCCTTGACTTAAATCCCCGCCACAACACCTAGCCTACAAAATAGTCTCCTTCCCATACTTGAATATTTCAAGTGATGCAGCATTCACTACTCAAAATACTGCATACTACGTATGTTGTGATGTACATACTACAGACCCAGCGTCTCTCCCTCTAGTTGACCATGACCTCTGAAATTCACACTCTAATCCTATCTATTTCCTTTCAGTTAACATGCGACGTCAGTTAAGACGTCAGTTAAGACGTCAGTTAAGACTATTACCTGAAACGTACCCAGAGGCAGAGTAAATGCGGGTCCCGGAGCAGACAGGAGAGAGGACCGTGAGTTTTTTAGTAAGATGAGGAGGAGAAGATAGGCTACGGCTTGGACCAGGCCTGGAAGAGAGCTCAGGCGTGCAGTCTCTGGGAACCTGGGTGGAGAAGCAGCAAGAAATAAGCAGAAAAAGGAGGAGACAGGCCATGAAGATAGAAGCGCAATGGTCCTGGATTCAAATCTCCACTCTGCAGCTTATAGCTTACAGTCCGCTTAGCTTTGTGCCAGTTCCAAGAGGACTTCGCTATTGCAGCTTTACAATGTTTTAATATGTAGTGTTGTTGTGCAAGGTACCATTCTAAACTGACTGACTTTCCTTCCTCCCTTCTCCTCCAAAATAATTTTTAATTCTTGCAGACAGACTTTAGATCGTGTGTTTGAAGTTTTTAAAAATGGAATTTTTATTGGAACTGCATTACACATATAAATTATTTAGGAAGAGTTGGCTTCTGAAGAAGGCAGCTCTGTGGGCTTGGGCTGGGTTTGAACCCAGTCAGACAACTTTCCAGCTGTGTTACCTTGGACAGTTACCTAGTTCCTCTGTACCTTGACTTCCTCATCTGTCAAATGGGTGATGATAATAGCAGCTACACCATAGTCGTTGGGAGGAGTCAGTGAGAGTCTCCAAGTGTGCTTTATTATCACTGGTGGTGGTAGTGGTGTTTAGAACACATCCCTCAGCCAGACAGCAACACAGGAGTTCTCCGTTTATTAAATCCTGAATTTTTTTTTTTTTTCATGTAAAACCTGCACATTTCTGAAATGCTCAGAGTATGTTACTCAGTATGTACCCATACGTTCTGTGGACCTGCTTCTGTCAAGATACTTTGTTAGGTTGTGATTAGTTCGTTGCAGCTGGTGGTTGCAGGGACGGCTGGAAGCAAGGAGAGGAAGGAGAGGAAGTCGTAGCTGGGAAGGGAACCAGGAAGCGCGTGCCAGATCCAGGAGCTGCTAGAAAGAAACGAAACTGAAAGCAGGGAATTTACCAAGTTTGGGGAGGAGGAGTGAAACCTAAGGAAGACAGGACCTGCAGTGCCGCTCCCCATTTCACGCCACTCCCGAGACAGAGGACCTAGGTCCTGGCGAGCTGGACGTGGTGCAGAGAGCCGAGCAGGGAAACCAGAAATCTGAAGGCCGCGCCAGAGCCCTGCTTCCCCTTGCAGCTGCGGCAGGTGGCCATGGACTTGTACCGCACCCCGGCCAGCGAGCTGGACAGGTTCGTGGCCACAAGGCTGCAGCCGCGGAAGGAGTTCACAGAGACGGCGCGGCGCGCCCTGGGCGCCCTGGACGCTGCCTTGAGGGAGCGCAGGGGCCGCCCCGGAGCTCCTGCCCCGCGGGTGCTGAAAATCGTCAAGGTGAGGTGCCGCCTCGGGGGTCTTTATGTGTCCAAAGGGGACAGTCCTGGGAGGACGCTTAAGCCTCACATAGCCTTAAGGTGGGGGTGGCTTTTATCCACTTATGCACCTCTCATTCATTTCTTTAACAAACACTTCCAATGTGCCAGCCCTGTGCTAATTCCCCTGAACATACGAGCCACGTAGGTACTCTCAAGTCTGCTTGACAGATGGAGAAACTGAGGCACAAAGCGGCACAGTGACATATCCAATCCCGTAAGAGGCCCAGCCAGAATTCAAATCCAAGTAGCCTGATTCCTGCATCTCTGTTCTCAGAGGCTGCCTCTCATCCGTTTTCATTCACTCACTCACTCACTCACTCACTCACCCAGTCATTCAGACAGGCTGGGGGCCTCACACTATGCCAGACCCTAAGGATACGGAAGTAATAATACTCTATAACAGCCAGAATAGCCCAATTTATCGAGACATTACCAAATAACAATGAAAATTATCTCATTAAATGAGTATTACCTCGTTTCATCCCCACATTCAGTGAGGTAGGTATTATTGTACCTGTTTTATGGATAGGGAAACTGAGGCTAAACGCCAAACTACTGCTCTGAGTCACTTTTTTTTTCTTTGAGACAGGATCTCGCTGTGTCACCCAGGCTGGAGTGCAGTAGCACGATCTTGGCTCACTGCAACCTCCGCCTCCCAGGCTCAAGTTATTCTCATACCTCAGCCTCCCAAGTAGCTGGCACTACAGGCGCACTCTACCACTCCTGGCTAATTATTCGCATTTTTTAAATAGAGATAGAGTTTTGCCGTGTTGCCCAGGCTGGTTGGAACTCTTGGGCTCAAGTGATCAACTTGCCTTGGCCTCTCAAAGTGCTGGGATTACCGGTGTGAGCCACCGTGCCCAGGTAATTTTTGCATGTTTTGTAGAGATGGGATTTCACCATGTTGCCCCGGCTCCAGGTCACTTTTTGTCACTTAAATACAGCCACACTGCCACTGTGATCCCAGGACACTCGCAGATTCAGGGAGGAGACAAGTCCTGAGCTACCTTATCCTTAGGGTAAATTCGGGGGTACCAGGAGTGGATGGACCGAGGGAACCTGGGTGTGCTAAAGCAGATTTGGAGGTTGTCAGGAGAGGGAGTGAAAACGCAGAGTAGAAATGGCCTCAGAGCACCTAGTGGTTTCCTGGGGCTGACTCTCAGCTTGGGAGGTGACTCTCAGCTTGGGAGGTGACTCTCAGCTTGGGAAGTGACTCTCAGCTTGTTGCCTAGGAGGTGGGAAGTCCCGTTTCTACGTCGGAGATGGACAGGAGGGATTTCTGTGCAGCAAGAGAAAGTCCTGGCATCCTTAGCTTCCCTGGAAAGGGGTATGGCAGGCGGGGGGCGGGGTCTCGAGCACAATCTCCGTGTGCTTTCATTTCCTCCTTTATAAAGTGAGCACTGTGCTTTTACTTCCTCTTTTGTAAATTGGTACCTTCCTTCCGGGGCTGTGAGGAAGGTTCAATGAGATGAAAGTGTGTGAAACGTGCAGGAAGTGCCCAGCCTGTAATATTCCCTCTTCCCACTTTGTCAGCAGCCCCCACATTGTGGGAGCTGGAAGTAAAAGGACTGGCCTAATCATCGGGATAAATAGGGGGTCCCAGTTTGGGGCAAGACTTGCTCCTGGAGGGCTCCATCCTGGTTCTTGCTGTTTATTGGCTGTGTAACTCATTTCACCGTCTGAGCCTCACTCCCCATATCTGCAACCACCTGTAACTACATCACAGTTGTTTTGTGTTGAAAGTGAGAGTAGAGACGTCAGATCCCAGACACAGAACAGTGGCTCTGACAATGTTTAGGAGTTTCTTTTCCAAATCCTCAGGTTGGAAGCTTTGCCGAAAGAAACACTGATCACACAGGTCTCAGAAATTGAGTCATACCACAGTTCTGTACCCATTCTGAGCAAAGATTGCGAACGTGTGTTCTGCAAAGCAGAATTCGTTTTGCCTGCGGTCTTGAGTTTTTAAAAAGTTAGTTGCCAACATTTAAAAATCATGGCTATAGGCCTGGCACGGTGGCTTACTTGGCCTGTAATCCTAGCACTTTGGGAGGTCAAGGAGGACAGATCACTTCAGGTTAGAAATTCGAGACCAGCCTGGCCAACATGATGAAACCCCATCTCTACTAAAAATACAAAAATTAGCCGGGCGTGGTGGTGCACACCTGTAGTCCCAGCTACTCAGGAGGCTGAGGTGGGAGAATCACTTGAACTCGTGAGATGGAGGTTGCAGTGAGCTGAAATAGTGCCACAGCACTCCAGCCTAGGCAACAGAGCAAGACTTTGTCTCAAAAATAAAACTAAAATAAAAATTATGGATTTAGCCCAGCACGGTGGTGCATGCCTGTAGTCTCAGATACTTGGGAAGCTGAGGCAGGAAGATCACTCAAGCCCAGGAGTTCCAAGCTGCAGTGAGCTATAATCGTGTCTGTGAATAACCACTGCACTCCAGCCTGGGCAACATAGCAAGACCCCGTCTCTTTAAAAAAAAAAAAAAGTAAAAACTAGCCAGTCATGGTGGCATGTGCCTGTAGTCTCAACTACTTGAGAGGCTGAGGCAGGAGGATCACTCGAGCCCAGGAGTTCAAGGCCACAGTGAGCATGATTATGTCACTGCATTCCAGCCTGGGTGACAGAACAAGACCCTGTTTCTATGGAAAAAAAAATCATGGATTTACATATTAAAATTGCTTCTCTTGAAATCTCAAGCCTGGCTACCCTGGACCCACATTCCCGCGTGGCTTCAACATCTAGAGCCATGTGGCCACAGTCTCTCCCCAGCACCCTCACCTCACTTAAGTCGCCTGCCAGGTTGCAAGGCCACTAGAATTGGACAGTATGAAATTCTGAGTTATTTTTCTCTGCCCAGGGAGGCTCCTCTGGCCGGGGCACAGCTCTCAAGGGTGGCTGTGATTCTGAACTTGTCATCTTCCTCGACTGCTTCAAGAGCTACGTGGACCAGAGGGCCCGCCGTGCAGAGATCCTTAGTGAGATGCGGGCATTGCTGGAATCCTGGTGGCAGAACCCAGTCCCTGGTCTGAGCCTCAAGTTTCCTGAGCAGAGCGTGCCTGGGGCCCTGCAGTTCCGCCTGACATCCATAGATCTTGAAGACTGGATGGATGTTAGCCTGGTGCCTGCCTTCGATGTCCTGGGTGAGGGGTTCCTGGACTGTTCCAGGGTTGGGGGCAAGATCACTGGGAACAACACAGGATTTCCAATTCTAGCCCAGCCACCGACTTGCTATGTGACCTGGGCCAGCCTCTACCCCTCTCTCAGCCTCAGTTTGGGGACTAAACATATTGGACTTGTGCCAGACAAAGGCAGAGAAAGCCCAGTTCCTCCTGGATCTGTGGTCCTGCTGTCAAGATGCTTGGCCCTCCCACAGGCATCTGGTAGTTTCCCTCAGCCACTGCCTAGAGCAGTTACTGCTCAGCCCTTCCACAAATATTCCCAAAAGCTAAGCCAAGTGGACATGTGGCTAGCAGTAGGGGCCTGGGGACAAAACCAGATTTCTGCAAAATCTTGTATTTTATCTTGAAAACATTGATGTGATTTTTGCATTCTTCGTAATATACCTGTGCTTGAGTTAAGATAAAAATATGTCTTTGTGTCCTCATCTGTAAAATGAGGATAATACCAATGGGGATATTAGTAATCTTATCGAATTTCTCATGTTATAATTTTCTTCCTTATTTTAAAGGGTTTACTTTATGGTTCTTTTTTTTTTTTTTTTTTTTTTTTGACTTTTGGAGGTGAATCTTAGCTTAGTAATTGTCAGTTTTAGTCAACGCAATTAAAGCTACTGATTTCCCTTTCAGTACCACTTTAGCTACAAGGTAAATCTTTTGTTTGACATGTATAATTTTTATCCTCATTCCGGTCTAAATATTTTGTACTTTTAATTATGACATCATTTGTTGTTTCATCCATGAATATTCGGAAGTAGCTTTCCAAATGAATGTTTTGGGGTTTTGTTTGCTTTTGACATTTACTTATTATCTTTTTTAAAACTGTAGTCAGAAAACATTATGTGATATCAATTATTTGGAATTTGTTGGCATTTCTTAGGTTGCCCATGGTTGAAAAGAATGCATGCTTTCCAGCCAGACATGGTGGATCACACCTGTAATCCCAGCACTTTGGGAGGCCAAGGCGGGTGGGTCACTTGAGTTCAGGAGTTCGAGACCAGCCTGGCCATAGTGAAACCCTGTCTCCACTAAAAATAAAAATAAAAAAAAAAATAGCCTGGAGTGGTGGCATGCACCTGTAATCCCAGCTACTCGGGAGACTGAGGCAGGAAAATTACTTGAACCTGGGAGGTGGAGGTTGCAGTGAGCTGAGATTGCACCACTGCACTCCAGCCTGAGAGACAGAGTGAGACTCCATCTCAAAAAAAAAAAAAAAAAGATCGCATGCTTTCATTGCTGAATGCAGACTTCTATATAGGTTCTTTAGATCTAGCTTATGACCTTTTGCTCAGATAATTTTTTGTTTAGTCTCTCAATTTCTGAGCAAGATATCTTAAAATCTCCTACTCAGAATGGAGACTTATCCATTGTTCCTTGCAATTCTGTGAAGTTTTGCTTCTAATATTTCGAGGCTATGTTATTGAGAACATATTCGCACATAATTATTATACTTTATTGGATTGTACTTTTTATCATTAAGTAATAATCTTCATTACTTCTCAACGTTATCTTTGTCTTAAAGCCTTTTGTCTGATATTAACAGAGCCACAGTCCTCTTTTGTCGGCATTTTCCTGATGTACCCTCTCCACTCTTTATTTCCTAGTACGTGTTATTAAATTGTACCCTTTATAAGCAGCACAAAGCTAAAAGACAAAAATGAAACAAGCAACAATGATATAATAATTTACATGGGTTTAATAGTATCTTGGAACTAAACTACCAGTCACTAATAATAGGGGAAACTGTTTCTTTTGTTTTTGTTTTCACAGTCTGTGCAAATTAAAACCTATTAATATAATTAACAAATTTTTTCACCATTGCTACTTGATTTCCAGTTCTTCCTTCTGGATTCATTTTCCTTCTTACAGAAATACATCTTTTAGTACTTTTTCAGAAAGGGTTTATGAGTGACAAGTTTTTCTCAGACTTTGTCTAAAGCCCTTTCTGTTTCACCTCCATGCTTGAATGGAATGCTTGACACTTGTTTTCCTTAGTTGTGCTGTCTTCTTACCTGTTGTTGCTGATGAGAAGTCTCTGTCAGTTGTTGATTTTTTGTTGTTAACGATCTGTTTTTTTGTTTGTGTTCGTGGTTTTTTGTTTGTTCATTTTGTTTTGATTTCCCTTTTGTTGGCTTTTAAGACTTTCTCTTGGTTCATAGTATTCTTCAGCTTCTCTTTGATGTATCTGTGTATGGATTTCTTTTTAATGTGTCCTCTTTGAAATGTGCTGTCCCTCCTGAATCTGAGAGCTCAATTCTTCCTTTAGTTTTAGGGAGATGTCTTCCAATAGCTCTTCGAATACTGCCTCTCCCCTATTTTCTCTATTCTCTACTTCTGGAACTCCTGTTAGATAGTTTCTTATCTCATCCTCCATGGCTTTTCATCTCTCTCTCTCTCTTTTTTTTTTTTTTTTTTTGAGACGGAGTCTCGCTCTGTCGCCCAGGCTGGAGTTCAGTGGTGCGATCTCGCTCACTGCAAGCTCCACCGCCTCCCGGGTTCACGCCATTCTCCTGCCTCAGCCTCCTGAGAAGCTGGGACTACAGGCGCCCGCTACCAAGCCCGGCTAATTTTTTTGTATTTGTTTTTTTAGCAGAGACGGGGTTTCACCGTGTTAGCTAGGATGGTCTCTATCTCCTGACCTCGTGATCTGCCCTCCTCAGCCTCCCAAAGTGCTGGGATTAGAGGTGTGAACCAGTGCGCCTGGCCGCTTGTCATTTCTCTCATTGTTCCCATCTCTTTGTCTGTCAGGGCTGCCTGTATTTCAGTGTCTTGGACCTGTCTTCTGGTTTATAAACTCTATTAAAATAATGTCTACTCTGCTGCTTATCCCTAATTTTTTTTATTTCAATGACTTTTCACCTCTAGAAGTTGTGTTTCTCTGTTTCTTAAATCAATCTGTTATTTGTTCATAGGCTTCAATTCTTTCACTGTAGTTTCAGTGTCTTTGATGTCTTTAATAACTTCCAACATGCTTATTTTAGTGTCTCAGATTGTCCAATTAACTCAAATTCTTGAGGTGCTAATTTTCCCATTTGCTGTGTCACCTGACTCTCCCTCATGGTCAATCATTTCTTCATATGGTTCGTAATTTTTTATTGTGAACTGATCTTTGGGGTTTGTGGAGCTTTTGTTGTCTTTGCTTTTCCTGTGGAGGTTCCTTGTGCCCTGGGTTGGAGAATATTCCCCGTGGGACCAAGTTTTCATTTCGCTTCTACCTGGACTCCAAGAGTTTCACTAATTCCCAGGCTAGATTATGCATTAATTCAACAGTCTGGGATTTCCTCGCCATGCAGATACTGTACATTTGGACTTCACATCCACATCTAGCACAGGATGGGGGTCGCAGTTTCTCACAGGGGATTTTCTTTTTTCCCCCACCCAGAGCCCTAGCAACAAGCTTCCTTAAAGCCCCTCTCTGCCAGTGGATAACCTTTTGCAGTCACTTTTCATGAAGAAGGCATTTATTTTAGAGGCCAGCCTTATGAAAGTGAGGGATGAGACTCAATTGTAGCTTCCTCTCTTTGTCTTGTTTTTCTTCTTCTGGAAGATAACGTTAATAATAGCAATAATTACTGCTTATTGAGCACATGATGTATTCTACACACTGTTCTAAGCACTTCACATGTAGATTTCAATTGATTCTTACAATAACCTTAGAAGGACAGGTGCTATTTATGATCCCCCTTTTACAGATGAGGAAACTATACCCAAAGAGGTAAAAATCACACAGCTTGGATTTGAACCCAGGCTTATCTGTCTCCAAAGCTCACTCCTTTAACCACTATGTGACACAGCTTTTCTGGGTCAAGATTATCCATCTTTCAGCTTTCAGGGAAAATTTTTAAAAAATAAATAAATAGAAGATTATCCACCGTGCAGTTACCGGATGGATTAGCAAAAATTATTAAAAAGCATCCAGTACAGAATTGATACTGAAAGAAATGATAGCTCTGATTGTTATTCAATATTATAGTGTATTACTGATTACAATGTTAGGTGATTAATGTTAGAATGTTCATAAAGGCTGGTGAATGGATGGGTTGGTAAATGCTGCTGTCTGCGATTGGAGTTGCACACTCAGGGTGTTTCAAACTTCTACAGGGCAGCTCAGTTCTGGCACCAAACCAAATCCCCAGGTCTACTCGAGGCTCCTCAGCAGTGGCTGCCAGGAGGGCGAACATAAGGCCTGCTTCGCAGAGCTGCGGAGGAACTTCGTGAACATTCGCCCCGCCAAGTTGAAGAACCTGATTCTGCTGGTGAAGCACTGGTACCGCCAGGTGAGTTGCCCCTGGCTCCTCCCAGGAAGCCGCCACTGTCATGGCAACCACCCCAGCCAATCAGTTCCTCCCCTACACCCACGTCTCCCCTCCTTGGCTTCTTTTTTTTTTTTTTTTGAGACGGAGTCTCGCTCTGTCTCCCAGGCTGGAGTGCAGCGGCCGGATCTCGACTCACTCACTGCAAGCTCCGCCTCCCAGGTTTACGCCATTCTCCTGCCTCAGCCTCCTGAATAGCTGGGACTGCAGGCACCCGCCACCTCGCCCGGCTAGTTTTTTTGTATTTTTTAGTAGAGACGGGGTTTCACCGTGTTAGCCAGGATGGTCTCGATCTCCTGACCTCGTGATCCGCCCGTCTCGGCCTCCCAAAGTGCTGGGATTACAGGCTTGAGCCACCGCCCCCGGCCTCCTTGGCTTCTTATTGGTCATCCAAAGCAAAAGGACCGGCCTCCTCCATCCTCCATTTCCTGCCCGGATCTGGAAGTCACTGTTAGAAAAAATCTTTTCTCCGTCAACTCTAAAGTCCTCATTTCTTGTACCTGGGGTTCACTGTCCCTCTTTAGCCCATCCACTTCTCTCTTTTGACACTGCAAATGTTTTCTCTGATTTTCTCCCACCTCCAAACTTTTGCTTATGATACCCCCACCACATCTCTATTTTTGGAAAAGAAAACTCCCCTTTCTGGAAGCCTAGAGCTGGCAGTGACCACCATATGGTAAGGACCTGTCCAAGACAGAAAAACCAGAGCACTTGAACAGAAAAGATCTGAACAGAAAAGCTGATGACTCCTTATGGGCTCCTGGATCAACCTGTGCCTGAAAGCAGATCTACTCCAGGGCTTTTGGGTTACATCAGCCAATACAATCTTTCACAGCCTTTTTTTTCTTCTTTTCTTTTCTTTTTTTTTTTTTTTTTTTTTTTTTTTTTGAGAAAGGGTCTCACTTTGTCACCCACGCTGGAGTGCAGTGGCACTATTACAGCTCACTGCAGCCTCAACCTTCTGGGCTCAAGCAATCCTCCTGCCTCAGCCCCCCAAGTAGCTAAGACTACAGGCATGCACTACTACACCTGGCTGACTTTTGTACTTTTTGTAGAGACAGGAGTCTTACCATGTTGCCCAGGTTAGTCTCTAACTTCTGAGCTCAAGTAATCCACCCACCTTGGCCTCCCAAAGTGCTAGAATTACAGGTGTGAGCCACCGCGCCCCAGCCTTGCTACCTCTTTTGAGTTGCACTAAATTCTGAGCATCCTTCGGAGTTCCCTTACTAAGTACTTCTCTGAATTCTGACTTGCATTCATGCATCCCTATATTCAACAAACATCTATCGAGCACCTGCTATTACTAACTCTTGTGATGGACACTGGGATACCAAGATGGATACATTGCAGCCCCTATTCCTGTACAACCACCCTATGCTATGTGATGAATGTTAAAATATTCCTAAAGGCTGGTGATGGATGGATTCGTCAATGCTTCCATCTTCAATTAGAGTTACACACTCAAGATGTTTCAAATTTCCAAATTCCTTGAGGGGAGATACTGGGCAAAAGCCACATCTGAGCTCTCAGTCTCACTGTATGACCTTAGACAAGTCACTACCCTCCTCTGAACCTCAGTTTACTCACCTGTAAAATGAGAAGCATCAGCAAGTTTCTATTCTTTCTGCACTTCTGTTTTCTATATTCCCTTCCTGCCCCAAGTGCTTATGGCCACACTCAGCTCACATCCACTAATCACGCATCTTGACCTTGGGTGACACAGGTTGTGGCTCAGAACAAAAGAAAACGGCCAGCCCCTGCCTCTCTGCCCCCAGCCTATGCCCTGGAGCTCCTCACCATCTTCGCCTGGGAGCAGGGCTGCGGGAAGGACTGTTTCGACATGGCCCAAGGCTTCCGGACAGTGCTAGGGCTCGTGCAGCAGCATCAGCAGCTCTGTGTCTACTGGACGGTCAACTATAGCACTGAGGACCCAGACATGAGAATGCACCTTCTTGGCCAGCTCCGAAAACCCAGGTGAAGACCCGCTTCCCTTTGCCTGGCTTAATTATACTTCTCCTCCCCACCGTCACCCTGGAGTCAGTCATCCAGGAGGGGTCCAAGGTAGGGTTTGGGGTGGGAATCCCGCTCCTCACTCTGCTTCCCTCTGGACTCTTTGCTGAGGAAATGTGGACATAAGGAGTCCCAAAAGAAACCAGGGCCAGTTTTATTAGCATGATAAAATAGTATTTCTCAGTTGAAGGGGCCACCCAATAGCTTTCCAACCAAGGCAGCCAATTGAGACTGCTTCTGCATTTGGGCAAGACTGAGCCAACCCTGAGGTCCTGACACTCTTTCCAGCCCTCACACCCCTTTTCAGCCCTTCCACCCACCTCGTCTTTCACTGACTCCCACCTTCCCCACCCACCCTCTTGCTGTGCCCCCAGACCTCTGGTCCTGGATCCCGCTGATCCCACCTGGAATGTGGGCCAGGGTAGCTGGGAGCTGTTGGCCCAGGAAGCAGCAGTGCTGGGGATGCAGGCCTGCTTTCTGAGTAGAGATGGGACATCTATGCCGCCCTGGGATGTGATGGTAAGACAGAGGGTCCTGGGGGGCAGGGGGCCCTGCCCCTGCCTTCTAGTCAGGTTCCCTTAACCTGCCGGTGCACCCATCCCCCGCTGCTAGGAGTGTTGGTTCCTGACAACTCATAGCCACCCCTTCTCTGGAGACTTGCCTTCCGTGAAATGCACAGATTGCTACGTCCCAGCCAGTGCCTGAGTGACACAGGGTTACAAAAGGCCCAACTTTGTCTCCAGGCGGAACCGACTCTGATACAATTCACGGTCCAGGGCTCCCTGTGGGATCAGGCAAACACTTGTCTCTGGTTGAGCACCCAGCTTTGCTGAGACTCTTCTCTGCCCTCTGCTGCTGCCCTTGTTCCACTTCTCCTCCAAGCACTGCCCCAATTAATCATATCCACAAGAATTCCCACCATGGGCCCTGCTTCTAGGAAAACTGAGACATAAGCCGCTTGCAGCTCCCAAAAGGACATGATTTTATCACTTTTACTATTTTGCAGCAGGGTCTCATAACCAGCGTTTGATACTCAAGACAATCCATTGAGACTCAGGCTTCATTATTGCACTCATTTAAACATGGGGAAACTGAGACTGTGTATTGATGCTAGAACCAAAATTCAATCTCAGGTCCTTCTGATGCTACCTCAGAACCTACCTACCAGCTGAGAAGGAAAGAGCGACATGGGAGACAGTGGGAGTCTTGTCCTCAGAGGACATCAAGGGGCAGGGCTTGGGTGAGCACTAGGAGTCCCGTCTCAAGCTGGCCCTGCCTGGATTCTCTCTGCAGCCAGCCCTCCTTTACCAAACCCCAGCTGGAGACCTCGACAAATTCATCAGTGAATTTCTCCAGCCCAACCGCCAGTTCCTGGCCCAGGTGAACAAGGCTGTTGATACCATCTGTTCATTTCTGAAGGAAAACTGCTTCCGGAATTCTCCCATCAAAGTGATCAAGGTGGTCAAGGTGAGTCCTCAGAGAGCTGTAGGCAAGCAATGTCCTGCAAGCTGGTGATCTCTCCCAGCCCAGGGCCAGGCCTGACCCACTTCCGCCCTCATAGCAACCAGCAAAAAGCCAGGCATAGAGAAAGAGCCAGAAAGTGATCATGGGGGGATGGCAGAGAGAGGGCCCAGATATGTCCAACAAGTCTTTTTTGGTTGCTAGTGACACCCAACTCGAAAGAGGCAGCAAAGGAATGTACTGACTGATGTAACTGGAAAGTCTGGGGGTAGGGCTGCTTACAGGCATAGCTAGATACGGGAGACCAGGCAGCATCCTCAGGACTCAGTTTTTCTCTCCAGTTCTTGGTTTTGCTTTTTAATGTCTTGGATAGGCCCTTAACATATGGTGGTCTTTGGCAGCTCTAAGCTTCCAGAAAGGGGAATTTGTTTTTTCTTAAAATCCAAATAAAAGTCTTGGAATTGAGTCTCATTGGCTTGCCTTGGGTAACCTATCACCCCCCAAACTAATTACTGGGACTAGGGAGACATGATGCTCTGGATGGCCAAGACCAGGTCACACGGTGAAGTGGCCCCCGCCTAGACCTCATGGGCTGAGTGTGGGGTAGGGGTGGTCCCTCCATAGAACACCAGGATGCTGATCCCAGGTGGAAAGGACACTGGGGGTGTACAAAAGGTCACACTGTCCACGGCACTGGATACAGCCTTAGTCCACAGTTGGAGAGACAAGTGAGACCCAGATCGGCTCAGAAAGAGTGTTAGCATAAAGTCAACCAGTGAACAGTGCCAGGGATGCTGGTTTGCTGTGTGACCATAGGCATGTACCTTCCCTTCTCTGATCCTCACCTTCCTGATTTCTAACACTTGAGGAGAGTGGCTTGGCTCACTGGTTCTCAACCCTGGCTTCCCTGGCTTGACCTTGGAATCACAGTTTTTAAAAAATATGCTGATGACCAAGCCCCAACCCAGGAAAACTTAAATCACTGTCCTGTGGGGTGGGAGCCAGCCGTTGGTCATTTGTAAAAGCCTTCCAGGTGCAGACAGGCTTGGGAGCTTCAGGCCCAAAAAAACAACCAACAAACAAAACACTTCTCAAATCTTCTCCAGTCAGAAAACATGATGGAGTGAGAAATTTTGCATTTGTTGAAGGGTTTAAACTTACCTCCTGCACGCTTCTTTTTCTTACAGTCATACCAGATTAAAGATGTAACAGAGAGGTTAGGTGACTTGTCAAAAGTCACACAGTAGGTTTTCTAACTCATAGTCCAGAACCCACAGGCAAAAGGATGCCAAGCCGTGCTTCAAGGGTTGAGCCACCTGCCATGTCCTCTCCAGGGTGGCTCTTCAGCCAAAGGCACAGCCCTGCGAGGCCGCTCAGACGCCGACCTCGTGGTGTTCCTCAGCTGCTTCAGCCAGTTCACTGAGCAGGGGAACAAGCGGGCCGAGATTATATCTGAGATCCGAGCCCAGCTGGAGGCATGTCAACGGGAGCAGCAGTTCGAGGTCAAGTTTGAAGTCTCCAAATGGGAGAATCCCCGTGTGCTGAGCTTCTCACTGACATCCCAGACGATGCTGGACCAGAGTGTGGACTTTGACGTGCTGCCAGCCTTTGACGCCCTAGGTGAGGTGCCCTGGCATAGACCTGAGAGGGGAAAATACAGAGGCAGGCCTGCCATGCACAGTTGTAGAGGTTGCACAGTGCACAACCAGGCCACATCTGTTCCCATCATTGCAGGCACTGTAGTTGTGTATGTTCATCACAACTTTCCTGCAAAGAATCTAAAGAAGAGAGCACCTTTTTCTAATTTGCACAGGCACTCTGTGGGCTAACAGTGGCCTCAAGCTGGGTTCTAGTCCCAGCAATTCCACCAATATACTAGATGACCTTGAACAAGGGACTTCCCCATCCTGAGCCCCAGTGTCTTTATCTCACATCTGACAGTAAGGACACTGATGTTTCTTGCACATTCCAAGCTTTGAGTGGTTTGTGTGCCACCCACCTCCTCCACCTGCTGCAGATCTATTCATTCAGTTCATTCAATACATGCATCTACTCTGTGCCCAGTGCTCTTCCAGGGACCAGAAATAAAGCCTTGAACAAAATAGACACAACTCTCTTCATATCTCTTCAACTCTCAGTTTGGTTAGCAGTTTTCAGAGTGAGAAAATCCCTTGTATCTGAATTTATTTAGTTTCTGAGTTTGAGGGAGCAGGTAGCCAAGGGAGGGATTCATGCAGAATTTTGTTTTAAGAGACAGGGTCTTACTTTATCACCCAGCCTGGAGTGCAGTGGGGTGATCATGACTTAATGCAGCTTCGAACTCCTGGGCTCAAGTGATCCTCCCGCCCTAGCCTCCTGAGAAGCTGGGACTAGAGGTGCATACCACTACGCCTGGTTAATTTATAGAATTTTTTGTAGAGATGGAGATCTCACTATGTTGCCCAGGCTGATCTGAAACTCCAGGCTTCATATGATCCTCCTGCAGTGGCCTTCCAGAGTGCTGGGATTACAGACGTAAGCCACTGCACCCAGCCCAGAAATTTAACTGAATCTATTCAGTTCCTCAGTTCGGAGAGCGAGAATTTGGATATTAAGGAATGCCTTTAAGTGCAATGTAACCAGAATGTAGCTCTGTTACCTGCAGGAGGTTGTAAGACTGAGGCCTCCCCTCCCCCAGTTAGAGAGAAAGATAAGCAAGTATTAGAGAGGTGTTAAAGACAGACTAGCTCCCAGCTGAGACTTTTTCCAAGACAGGTAAGCAGATGGTTTGAAAGGGAGCAGAAAAGGGAGTAAGACTGTCACCAGCGATTTAACGTGGGTCATGCCACATCTGTGTTCCACCTAAAAACACCCTGTGGCCTGCCAGTGGATCCCAGACCCCCCTCAGGAAAACACCCAAGAGGTAGGAGATCTCAGAAGCTCTTTCTAAGTTGGCCCCATTGGGACACCGTGGGAACCAGAGTGATGGTAACCGTCTCCCCACCTCCAGGCCAGCTGGTCTCTGGCTCCAGGCCCAGCTCTCAAGTCTACGTCGACCTCATCCACAGCTACAGCAATGCAGGCGAGTACTCCACCTGCTTCACAGAGCTGCAGCGGGACTTCATCATCTCTCGCCCTACCAAGCTGAAGAGCCTGATCCGTCTGGTGAAGCACTGGTACCAGCAGGTTCGGCACATGGGTGGGCCACCTTCCCCAGCAGCCCTAGGCTCTGCCTCTGAAGCACTTTCCTGGGAGGAGGCAGGGCCCAGCCCTGGCCAGGAACCTGGGTTGGTGGAGCAGAGCAGAAAGAGTGCTATATCTCAGCTGTGGGACCTTAGTTTTCTTATCTGTAAGATGGGGGTGATAAAACTATGTTGCAAGGTATGACGGGATAATGCATAGCAAGGTATCTGGCACATGTAGTGCTCAATAAAAGTTTTGGGGTTGCTTTGTCAAGTCCAGAATAGTCCCTTCTGTACCTCCTCAGTGCCAATATAAACCAACACATCTTTGTCCTCGTCCTCCAGTGTCACAAGATCTCCGAGGGGAGAGGCTCCCTACCCCCAAAGCATGGGCTGGAACTCCTGACTGTGTACGCCTGGGAGCAGGGCGGGAAGGACCCCCAGTTCAACATGGCTGAGGGCTTCCGCACGGTCCTGGAGCTGGTCACCCAGTATCGCCAGCTCTGTGTCTACTGGACCATCAACTACAACACCGAGGACAAGACTGTTGGAGACTTCCTGAAACAGCAGCTTCAGAAGCCCAGGTTTGGGTCTACCCCCAATGTTCCGGAATTTCAGACCTGGGATCACTCACTCTCCCCACTTTCTAGATTGCAGAGCAGAGACAGGAAAACACTCTTCCTGGAACTGATTCCTTTCTAGAAGTTATATTCTTAAGACCTGAGGGACAAGCAGTCAATTTGCTGGTCACCCAGGAATAGGGTTGCCAGATAAAATGCAAGACCTCAAGTTAAATTTGAGTTTCAGATAAACAATGAATAACTTCTTAGTGTAAGTATGCCCAATGCCATATATGAGACATAATTATGCTTAAAAATTATTCACTGTTTATCTGAAAATCAAATTTTACCAGGCATCCTGGTTTGGTGGTGGTTGTTGTTTGTCTGTTTATTTTTGTCGCCCAGGGCTGGAGTGCAATGGTGTGATCTTGGCTCACTGCAACCTCCGCCTCCCGGGTTCAAGCAATTCTTCTTCCTTAGCCTTCTGAGTAGCTGGGACCACAGGCACACACCACCATGGCCAGCTAATTTTTGTATTTTTAGTAGAGACAGGGGTTTCACCATGTTGGCCAGGCTGGTCTCGAACTCCTGGCCTCAAGTGACCTGCCCACCTTGGCCTCCCAAAGTTCCAGGATTACAGGCATGAGCCACTGTGCCCAGCCTTGTATTTGCATTTGTTAAATCTGACCACCCTACCTGTGAACCCACCCAGGTACCATAAGCATGTTTCATTCTTTGGGATTTTGCCTACCTCGGAAATGGGTACAGAGGTAACAGAGATGCTTTTGCAAACTCAGGATGCATCTCCAGTCAGTGGGTAGTGGCTACTTAGAATGATGTGTGGAAAAAGCTTCTGAGGTTGTCATTTGACGCAGCTGGAAAAAGCGGGCTAACCAACTAGTGGTGAACAAACGTTGAGCATCCCAAATGCAAAAATTCAAAATCTGAAATGCCCCAGAATTTGAAGCTTTTTGACCACCAAAAAAAATGCTCAAGGAAAATGCTCATTGGGGCATTTTGGATTTTCAAATTAGGGATTCTTAACTGGTAAGCGAAGAGTCCAAAATCTGAAAAAATTCGAAATCCAAAACACTTCTGGTCCCAAGCATTTTAGATAAGAGATACTCAACCTGTATCATGGATGCAGGAAGGGAAAGCTGTGGAACCAGTGCTGTGATTGATTAACAATGCCTCCCCTGAATAAGGAAGGGGTAAGCGGTAGCACTGTGGTTGGTTAGTAATGTTTGCCTGAATACAGAATGGCAAAGTGGCCATGTATGTCTTATTTTCTATACCTGCCCTGTAGTGTGTGCTGGGAGCGCTGAGGAATCTCTGAGCCTGGCCCTAGCCCCTGCAAAGTGTTAGGTGAAAAGGGAAAATAGTCCAATCGGTGCCACAGGTGGACACTGAGATGTTGCCAGGAATAAGACTGACCCTGGGTGGGAATTACAGGCCTATCATCCTGGATCCGGCTGACCCGACAGGCAACCTGGGCCACAGTGCCCGCTGGGACCTGCTGGCCAAGGAAGCTGCAGCCTGCATGTCTTCCCTGTGCTGCGTGGGACGGAATGGCATCCCCATCCAGCCATGGCCAGTGAAGGTGAGAGATCTGTGGTGTCAAAGGAAGTACCCTTTGCGGGTGAGCGGGGAGCATGGCCAGGAGAGGGACATGACTCCTCCTAAATGGGCAGGACCCAGTGATGGCCCCAGGTGTGCCCCTGTGCTTCCATTTTCCCATCTGGCTATGTGGTCTCAGCTTCTGCAGAAAGGATGGGGTTACCAACATCTGCTATAATACTTCCCTAGGCTGCTGTGTGAAGTCAAGAAAATCAGTGGTCCTACTGGATGAAGAGAAGATGGACACCAGCCCTCAGCATAAGGAAATTCAGGGTCCCCTGCCAGACGAGAGAGATTGTGTGTGTGTGTGTGTGTGTGTGTGTGTGTGTGTGTGTACCCATGTATGCAAGTGTGTTTTAGTGAATCTGCTCTCCCAGCTCACACACTCCCCTGCTTCCCATGACTTGCACACTAGGATCCGGACTCCATGGTTTGACACCAGCCTGCATTTGCAGCTTCTCTATCACTGCCTTGACTCTATCCTGCTTCCCACGACCACTGCTGCTTCCCACCCAGCTGAGAATGCCCCCTCCTCCCTGACTCCTCTCTGCCCATGCAAATTAGCTCACATCCTTCCTCCTGCTACAATCCAACCCTTCCTCCCACTGGCCCCTCCTTCTTCCCAAATCTAAATACTTTATATAGGGATGGCAGAGAGTTTCCATCTCATTTGTCTGCCACAGCCATTTGGTACTGGCTACCTGGAGCCTTATCTTCTGAAGGGTTTTAAAGAATGGCCAATTAGCTGAGAAGAATTATCTAATCAATTAGTGATGTCTGCCATGGATGCAGCAGAGGAAAGTGGTGGTACAAGTGCCGTAATTGATTAGCAATGTCTGCACTGGATGCAGAAAAGAGAAGGTGCTCATAGGTTTACAGTGTATGTCTGGACTTTTAAGGAGCCCTCTGAGCTCAGTTGCCAGCAGGAGAGTATGCCCATATTGACTTACTTTGTCTGCCACAGACGCAGACAGAGGGAGTTGGGACATGCATGCTATTGGGACCCTCTTATTGGACAACTAATTGGATGCCTCTTCATGGGAGGCCTCCTTTTCTTCACCTGTTATGCTGCACTCCTCCCTAGTTTACACAGCTTGATGCTGTGGCTCAGTTTGCCTTCTTGAATTTTTATTGCGTTCCTGTTTTCTCTCCTAACATGCTGAGATTCTGCATCCCCGGAGCCTAAACCTGAGCCAGTGGCCAAACAGCCATGCTCAGCCTTTTTCTCTCTGCCCTCCAGAGCAAGGCCCACCAGGTCCATCCAGGAGGCTCTCCTCACCTCAAGTCCAACAACAGTGTCCACACTAGTCAAGGTTCAGCCCAGAAAACAGAAAACACTCCAGGAATCTTAGGCAGAAAGGATTTTATCTAAATCACTGGAAAGGCTGGAGGAGCAGAAGGCAGAGGTCACCACCAGACTATTGGTTTCAAGATTAGACCACTGTAGCCGAATCAGGGGTCAGAGAGCCGCCACTGCTGCTGCTAATGCCACCACTGCCCCTGCCATCACTGCCTCACATGCACAAAACTGGAGTCAAAACCTAGGTTAGATTCCTGCAACCACAAACATCCATCAGGGATGGCCAGCTGCCAGAGCTGTGGGAAGACAGATCCCACCACCCTTTCTTAGCAGAATCTAAATTACAGCCAGAACTCTGGCTGCAGAGGAGTCTGAGACATGTATGATTGAATGGGCTCCAAGTGCCAAGGGGCGGAGTCCCCAGCAGATGCATCCTGGCCGTCTGTTGGGTGGATGAGGGAGTGGGTCTATCTCAGAGGAAGGAACAGGAAACAAAGAAAGGAAACCACTGAACATCCCTTCTCTGCCCCATGGGAGTGTCTTAGATAGCCTGACTCTTAACAAACCACTGTTAAAACTTACCTGCTAAGAATGCTAGATTGAATGGGATGGAAACAGCCTTCCCTCGTTATTGTCATTCTTGGAGAGAGGAGAGCAACCAAGGGCAGCTCCTCTGATTCACCTAGAGCCTGTTCTCTGCCCTGCTTGGCTCAGCCTACAGAGATTAGAGTCGGTGAAGGGACAGAGGACAGGGCTTCTAATACCTGTGCCATAGTGACGGCCTCCATCCCTGTCCCCCATCTTGGTGCTGAACCAACACTAAGGGCACCTTCTTAGACTCGCCTCATCGATACTGCCTAGTAATCCAAGGCTAGAACTCTCAGGACCCCAACCTCCACCTCTTGGATTGGCCCTGGCTGCTGCCACACACACATCCAAGAGCTCAGGGTCAGCTCTAGTGGGCAGCAGCAACCTGCTCTGCCAAGGTGTCCAGCAGCAGAGTGGCCCTGGCCTGGGTGTCGCAAGCCAGTGATGCTCCTGAGTAGACCAGGTGGCGGGTCGCAGTTGGGTGCCTTCCATTCTCACCACACAGACTCTGGGCCTCCCCGTAAAATGGCTCCAGAACTAGGGTAATTATGAGATGGTGGGAACCAGGGCAGCTCAGGTGCATGATACAAGGAGTGGTTGTCATCTGGGCAGGGCAGAGAGGAGGCCTCGCTGATCTGAAAAGGGGTGTATTTCATTCCAGGCCCTCAGTCTTTGGCAATGGCCACCCTGGTGTTGACATATTGGCCCCACTGGAACTTTTGGGGGCTTCCCGGTCTAGCCACACCCTTGGGTAGAAAGACTTGACTGCATAAAGATGTCAGTTCTCCCTGAGTTGATTGATAGACTTGTCACCCTAAAAACACCCACATACGCTTTTCTATGGAACCAGATAAGTTGACACTAAAGTTCTTATGGAAAAATACACACACAATAGCTAGGAAAACACAGGAAAAGAAGAGTGCTGAGCAGGGCCTAGTCTTAGCCAATATTAAAACATACTATGAAGCCTCTGATATTTAAACAGCATAGCGCTGGTACGTAAATAAACAGACCAGTGCATTGGGTGACTCTCTCCAAGACTCTGGGGAAAAAAGTAATAAAAAGCTAAATGCAATCAATCAGCAATTGAAAGCTAAGTGAGAGAGCCAGAGGGCCTCCTTGGTGGTGAAAGAGGCTTGCATTTCTTGCAGCCAGAAGGCAGAGAAAGTGAAGATCAAGTCCAGAACCGAATCCTAAGAAATGCAGGACTCCAAAGAAATTGGTGTGTGCGTGTGTGTGTTTAATTTTTAAAAAGTTTTTATTGAGATATAAGTCAATACCATAAAGCTCTCACCCTTTTAAAGTGTACAATTCAGTGGTGTGAGTATATTCGTAAGATTTATACTTGGTGTCTATTCATAAAACTTATATTCAGCATATTCATAACTAGAGCCATATCACAGATGCATTCATCATAGTAATTCCAGACATTTTCATCACCCTAAAAGGAAACCCTGAAACCCATTAGCAGTCATTCCCCATTCCTCCAACCCATTCTCTCCCTAATCCCTAGAAACCGCCAATCTGCTGTGTATTTCATCTATTGCAAATATTTCATATAAATGGCATGATACAATATGTGGTCTTTTGTGTCTGGCTTCTTTAACTTAACATGTTTTCAAGATTCATTCATGTTATAGTATATGTTGGTGTTTCATTCCTTTTTATTACCGAATGACATTTCCACTGCATAAATGGACTACATTTTGTTTAGCTGTCTTCCACTGATAGGTATTTGGATACTCTCCATTTTTTTGTTATTTTGCTGCATTTTTTGCTATTATGACTAATAGCTGCTATGGACACTCTTGTATGAGATTTTGTGCGGACATATGTTTTCATTTTTCTTGGGTATAAAAGGCGGTCCACAATTGATGACCCCATCACAAGCCAAGGAGCATCTGTGTGCTGTATTAATCAGAGTTCTCCAGAGAAACCGCGCCATTAGAATAGAGAGAGATATATAGAAAGAGATTTATCATGAAGGTTTGACTTGTGTGATTATGGAGTCTGAGAAGTTCTGTGATCCACCATCTGCAAGCTGGAGACTCAGGAAGGCCAGTGGTTGTAGTTTCAGACCAATTCAGAAGGCTGAGAACCAGGAGATTGCTGGAATAAGTCCCAATCCAAGTCTGAAAGGCTAAGAACCAGGAGCATCAATATCCGAGGACAGGAGAAGACAGATGCCTCAGCTCACGCAGGGAGAAAAATATTGCTGTTCCTCTTTTTGTTCTATTCAGGCCTCCAGTGGATTGGAAAATGCGCACTCACCCTGGTGAGGGCTGTCTTCTCTGCTCAGTCTACAGATTCAAATAGTAATCTCTTCCAGGAACATGGTCACAGATATATCCAGAAATAATTTTACCAGCCATCTGGGCATCCCTTAACCCCGTCCGGTAGACACATAAAATTAACCCTCATGTATACCTAGGAGTGGAATTTCTGGATCACGTGATAACTCTTACATTTAGCCATTTGAGAACTGCCATACTGTTTTCCACAGTGGCTGCACCATTTATACACACCCACCCCTGGCAGTGAATGGAAGTTCCAGTTTCTCTGTATCCTTGCCAACACTCATTGATTATGTTGATTATAGCCATCCTAGTGGGTAGATGAGAAAGTGATGATATGCTGTCAAAATAATCAGGTCTGCTCAATGTGGTCAGGACCCTACATGGTAAAAAAGAATAGGGCCTTGACACATAGAATGGGGACATTCAGGGTGATGCCACTGAGAATCTTTTTTTTTTTTTTTTTTTTTTTGAGACAGTGTCTTGCTCTGTTACCCAGGCTGGAGTGCAGTGGCACAGTCTCGGCTCACTGCACCCTCCACTTCCCAGGTTCAAGTGGTTCTCCTGCCTCAGCCTCCCGAGTAGCTGGGACTACAGGCACATGCCACCACGCCTGACTAATTTTTGTATTATTAGTAGAGACAGGGTTTCACCATGTTGACCAGGCTGGTCTTGAACTCCTGACCTCAAGTGATCTGCCCACCTCAGCCTCCCATAGTGCTGGGATTATAGGCAAGAGCCACCACCCCGGTCCCACTGAGAATCTTGAATCCCCAGATTCCTCTGACTCCTGAGAGCTGTAGAAGTGACCCATCCATCCCTCCCTGTTAAGAGCTAACCCTCCTCCCTTGCTTGGAAACCCTACGGAGGCATCTCATCCACAAGATGTTTGTCCCTATGCCCACCTCCTCTCCTGCCCACAAGGGTTGTGACTAGGCTTAAATTCCAGCATAAACCAGCCAGGGATGTGATGGGCCTCACAGGGGAGGAAAGGGCCTGTATCCCAAAGTAGCTGGAGAGCCAAGCCAGCATGACCAGCAGAAGTCGGGTAAGTATGTGCAGGAGTGGACCTTGAGGGTACTCGATCAAGGGGTTGTAGTGTGAGGCCAGATAAGAAAGGGTTTATTGATTCGGAAGTCTTGGAAGTTCAGGGCTGCACACCCTGGCAAGGACTCCAGGAGCAGGTGTGAACTTGCTGCCAGGAGGGCTCCTAGAAGAGGAGAAAAAGTAGGACGTCATGCTGAGTGAGATCCAAATGCCAGAATTGCAGGGGAGATGGTGGCAGATGACATGAAAGGTCAGGGAAGTGAGAATGCTTGGGAAGGCTGCATAAGACCCAGGGAACCAAGATTCCCCTTTACCAAGGCCACGAGGAGTGGACCAAGAAGAGGACACCAGCCAGCATCACAGAGAAGCTCAGAGAGCCTCTTCTGCAAGAGATGCCATCACAGGATGATGGGTGAGGACCCTTGGGAGCTAGGCTCACTGATAGCAAAGGGGATGGTGGAACCCTGGAGTAACAGAGGCCAGGAGATAGCACCTGTTAGGGGACACAGTCCTCACCATGAGTGGTAGGGCCCAGGATTGGCCAGGAGGGCCTGGCCTACAGAACATGGAGATGACCCTTAAATCTTGGTGTCCATAGGGACAGACTAGATGGGCCACAAGCAGGGAATTACTCAACTTACACCATTAAAATACTTCAAGAATGAACACCGAGGAAACTTCCCCCAGTAAAAACATCACCATTGGCCAGGCGCGGTGGCTCACGCCTGTAATCCCAGCAATTTGGGAGGCCAAGGTGGGTGGATCACAAGGTCAGGAGATCAAGACCATCCTGGCTAACACGGTGAAACCCTGTCTCTACTAAAAAAAAAAAAATACAAAAAATTAGCCGGGCGTGGTGGAGGGCACCTGTAGTCCCAGCTACTCAGGAGGCTGAGGCAGGAGAGTGGCGTGAACCCAGGAGGCGGAGCTTGCAGTGAGCCGAGATTGTGCCACTGCACTCCAGTCTGGGCGACAGAGCTAGACTCCGTCTCAAAAAAAAAAAAAAAAAATTCCCCATTGTTTTCCTAGTGGGCTTCCCAGGAAACATGTCTGTCACATACTTCAGCTAAATGTCATGTGTGAGCCTAGATGTTGGCAGGGGGGATGCTATAAAGAAAAGTATTGGAATAATTGGTAAAATTTTCAGTATAAGAATATATTTATGGCTGGATGCAGTGGCTTATGCCTGTAATCCTACCACTTTGGGAGGCTGAGACAGGCAGATCCCTTGAGCCCAGGAGTTCAAGATCAGCCTGGGCAACATAGTGAGACCCTACCTGTACAAAAAATACAAAAATTGGCCAGACATGGTGGTGTGTGCCTGTAGTCCCAGCCACTCAGGAGGCTGAGGCAAGAGGATCACTTAAGCCTGAGAGGTTGAGGCTACAGTGAGCTGAGATTGTGCCACTGTACTCCAACCTGGGTGACAGTGAGACTCTGTCTCAAAATATATATTTATGCAATATTTATATAATAAATATATACTTATCTATATTATATAAATTATATATTATATAAATTATATAAAATTATATTTATTATATATGTTATAAGAGATGATGGCATTACATCAATGCTAAAATTCTGAATTGGACCATTGTTCTGTACTTCTGTAACACAATATTCTTGTACTTAAGAGATACAGGTTGAAGCATTTAGGAGTAAAGGGACATAAATCATGCAACATGGACTCAAATCGTTCAGGAATAAAAATACTCATGAAGGGCTGGGCATGGTGGCTCATGCCTGCAATCCCAGCACTTTGGGTTGCTGAGTTGGGAAGATCGCTTGAGGCCAGGAGTTCAAACCCAGCCTGGGCAACATGGTGACATGTTGGTAGAAACCCCCGTTTCTACCAAAAAATTTAAAAAATTTAGCCAGGCATGGTGGTGCATGCCTATAGTCCCAGCTACTCAGGAGGCTGAAGTAGGAAGATTGCTTGAGCTTGGGAGGGTAAGGCTGCAGTGAGCTACAATCACGCCACTGCACTCCAGTCTGGGCGACAGAGCAAGACTCTGTCTCAAAAACAAAACAAAACAAAAGCCTCCTAAAATGTATAAATAGCAAGAAAATGAGGGGCAAATGTGGTAGAAATATGACGGGTAAAAAGTCTAAGGAAGTTCTTTGTGTGCATCTTGTAAATTTTCTCAGCATTTCAAATTACTTCAAAATAAAGTGTTTTTTAAAATAACAAATAAAGCACAGGCTTTGGGGTCAGGCGGTGTGTTAGTGTTAGAACCTAGCCAGACAACTTGCTGAGCAAATGTTTCCACCTCTCTGAGCCTCCACGTTTTCATGTGAGAAAGGAGCCTTAAGACTACTCCTGCCCAGCCTGCCTACCTCTCAGTGTTGCAGTAGAAGTTGGATAAGGGCAGGGAAGGCCCTTAATGAGCATGAGCATTAATTGAGGTTTTCCAGAACCAACAGGGTATGTATATTTATTTTGAGGTATTTATTTTAAGGAATTGGCTCATGTGAATGTGGAGGCTGGCAAATCCAAAATCGGCAGGGTAGACTGGCAGGTGGGAGACCCAGGAAGGAGTTGCTGCTGCAAGTGGAGGCCAAGGCAGTCTGCAGCAGAATTCCCTCTTTCTTGAGCGAGCTCAGTCTTTATTCTATTGAGGCCTTCAACTGATGGAATGAGGCCCACCACCTTACAGATGATAATCCGCTTTACTCAGAAAAAAAGTCTACCAATGTAAATGCTAACCTCATCTTAAAAAATACCTTCACAATAAGATCTAGGATGTTTGACCAAATATCTGGGTACCTGGGCTCAGCCAACTTGACACATAAAATTAACCATCCCAGCATGGAAGGGCCCTGGTCCCCCACCTGACATCTTGAAGATGTTTGCCTTCTCTGTGAATTATTCTTTCTGGGCCAAGGCAGCTGTCTGGGAGTTCTCTGCGAGTTTTGTTTTCAAAGCTCTGGGCACAGGAGTTGCATGTATCTCTCCTTTCTGGCTCACGCACTTGGGGCGTGCTTTCTTGCCCTTGAGGGGCTTGGCAAGTGCCTCATATGGTCCCACGGCTGTCCACAAGTGTGCTGAGAAACTGGACACACAGAGGCTCCCACCCGCTGACCACTCCGGGGCCTGTGTTTACACAGAAGCAGACCAAAACCTGAGTCCAGTTAGGTCCCTGCTTTGCTGTGTCCCTGAGCAAGTCAGTTTCCTCTCTGAGTCTCTTTCTCCTCTGCTCCTCTCCCTGAATCTGAGTTCCCCGGTCACTGAGA